GTGGCCGCAAATGACCGTAGCTTCCACCTCAAGTCCCCAAACACAAAATGTGTAATGACCGCTCGTTTGTTGTCAAATTGTGGTACACAGTACCACTATGGCAGTGATCTCGAGAGTCAGTCCAATGTACTAAGTACCCTCCAGCAAATCCTCCTCGCTCTCCCTTGTCCGGTTTTGCAATCTGTTAAATATGCAGACGACGAAAGTATCCGGTAACAACAAGCCCAAAAAGTCGTGCAATGAACAACAACGGCCTTGACAGCTAATTAGATTTGATCAGTATACGATAGCTGTATATTATACTCTTTGTGTAGTTTATCAGGCCATTTGTGCCGTTTATGATAGCGTTATTGTGTTTTATGTATATCAAAGTGTTTAATCAGTAGTGACGGGTGTAAATATACCTGTGTTTACTACCGCCTTACCCCGCATAGTGCGCATAGGCGCACAAATAAAATATAGCGCCCAGTGAGCGGAGGATTCATTTAAACTGTCTAGGAGCTATGCTATGGACAAATCCTACAACGTTGAAGACGGGCCACCACAATGGTACTGAGCATAGGTTTGCCAACAAATATGCCTGCATTGATCCAAAATTCTAATGGGCTGACGGCTCAACCGGTTCAAGCATGGATTGGCAAACTGCTGGCCAATGGTTCTTTTGAGCTGGGGGAATGTTGCTTTGGAGAATGAGTTGAAAAGTAAGGATGTTAAAGAGAGCAAGTGTCGCTGGCTTCAGCAATGGTTGGTTTGTAGCCGAGTCTGACCTTACATTATCGTAAATGTATAGGCATTGGTTGTGAGTCCATGTTACCCTTCTCCGAAGGTGTCCTTGTATGAGACTCTGCATTATAATTGGGGTTTTCATGATGGGAGTTTGACACCATTTTTTATTACTACACCTATGCGCTTTATGCGGGGTAAGACGGTAGGGAGGCGGAGTATTTAGTAGAGGTGCCTACGAGACTTGACCGCGGCCAGGCTGCGATGGCTGCAGGAACTCACTTGCGGAGTGTGTGTCCTACAGTGAGGTTGAAGTGACGGTGGGTGCGAGGGAGATTTCCGATGAGAGGTCCGCGGACTTCACGGAATTACTCGTACGTGCGTGCACTCACCTCAACGGGGACCGGTATAGTCAAAGTAGGTCTGGGGGGGGGGGTTGAGGCTTGCGAAGCTTTCCCCTACACAACCACACTTGATGAACACGATCATTGTCAATTCCCACTTAAGCTACGCAAGTCGGCTTCCGCCGGTTCTTCTCCTACGACTACTCTACGCTAAAGACGAGCTCTTCACCGCCTTGGTGTTGTACTGCGTCCTGACTTCGGGTGACAACCACAAGGACTGCGTGCTACTGAGAGCATCAAAGCTCTTAGTGCCTTATTTTTGAGTCAGATATTAATTGGATACTATCTATTGTGAAAACCGATTAGTTTGTCCTGGTGAATTAGCCGGTTAAACATCGCTCATAGCGAATTTGAAGACTAATAAATCGGGGATGTCTCAATTATAATCGGAGTATAAATCGCTCATCGGTCTCGTAATTATGTGCAGCCTAGCAATTTCGATCAACACGCATGTACCCGCGGCCCGAGACTCGCCGAGTGCAGCGACAACACCGCGCTTAAACGCGTCGCCTGCATATCTCAGTTACATGTATTATAGCGTGCGGCTTTTCCTGCTTAGTTCTGATGTTGGTCCATCGCAGGCAGCCTGCAACCGCGTAGAAGGCATCGGTCCCGATTCTCGCCTTGCCCACCAGCAGCCCACCACCTGTGGCTACACGACCCCTAGCGATGGCACCAATGTCTCGTTGGCGGTAGATTGCGTCGCAAACGGTATCGCCATAGACAGGACACATCCGATGAGCCATCGCATGCAGCCTGTAACCGCGTAGAAGGCCTCGGTCCCGATTCTCGCCTTGCCCACCAGCAGTCACCACCAGTGGCTACACGACCCCTAGCGATGGCACCAATAGCGCGTTGGCCGTAAACTTGAGCGCAAATGGTATCGCCATGGACATACACATCCGATGAGCCATCGCAGGCAGGCTGCAACCGCGTAGAAGGCCTCGGTCCCGATTCTCGCCTTGCCCACCAGCAGTCACCACCAGTGGCTACACGACCCCTAGCGATGGCACCAATAGCGCGTTGGCCGTAAACTTGAGCGCAAATGGTATCGCCATGGACAGACACTTCCGATGAGCCATCGCAGGCAGCCTGCAACCGCGTAGAAGGCCTCGGTCCCGATTCTCGCCTTGCCCACCAGCAGTCACCAC